ACACACACATACACAGATATACACACACAGTGTATGTGTCTATGTGTCTAGATATATATATATATATGTATGTATGTATGTATAGATTTCATCTACTGTCTTCACTAAAAAAGTTAATTTGAAAAAGTTAATTATCTTCGCTTTGCTGACTGACCATTGGGCATTAAGCAACCATGATTGCATTCAACAGATGCCTTTTAACCTTGGCCGATTGACTGCTTTCAGGGACTGTCTGTGGCTTTTAGTGGAAAATTCTGGCTTTTTAGTTCTTCATTTCGCTTAAACAAGTGGCAACCCATGGGAGGAATATACCCTTCAAGAAGTTGCATCATATACCCTGCTTCCTTCTTTCTTGATGGGACTCAATACATCTCTGATCCCATTCTGTCCACTAAAAAGGAAAAAGAGAAAAAAGGGACTAGGCACACAGATGATTTATGGATGAAAGAATGGAGATGAAGGAAAATTTACCCTACCAGCATGCAACTTTACACAATTGCATCATTGTCAGCAGCTTTTTTTATGATCATTTACCATACACAATAATTGGTCATTATAAAATTAGTCTCTCTTTAATGAGGTTTGCTGTTTGGGTCACAGATGCATGGCTCAATTGTAGTTTTACCTGTTACAGCTTTTAATTCAAGAAAGATTGTTCTTGTCTGGTGCTCTAATATACCCGATATGCATACCCAGAAAAAAAAGTAAGTGCACCATTAAAGCTTTAATATTATAATTAATTACAAAATTTCGGGGCAAAAATAAGACCAGGTAGCCTTGTTCTTATTATGTGTCCATAGGTGGACATTAAATGAGCAAACGAACGCTTTATCTTATTCTACTTGCAAAGTATCAGTTGCAGAGCAGTTCCTTGATGCCAACACACAAAGAAAAAGAAAAGGAGCAATATTTTCAATCGAACAATTTTAGGTTATTTCACTTTTGCTAAAATGTTTTCTTGGAACATGATCATCAATATGAAAGACATTTCTATCCCTAGGTATATGTGTGTGTTCCATCACCTATAGTGGTATAACCGAATCGAGACGAGCTTGAGCAGTGCCATGCTCGAGCTCGACTCTAAAAATTGATTGACTGTAAAATTTCAGGCTTGTGATCGATCGAGCAGAAGAACAACAATTCGCATGCAACTCAATGAGATCATTAAAGAGCTCATACTCACTCAATTGAGTTCGATCGTTAAGCTACGATTTAGGTCTTTTAAGAATTTTTTATTCCTTTAAATTTTTAAAGGGATACAATTGATTCCAATACCCATAAAACTAGCTATATTATAGAAGGGAAGGGTTGAAATTTTTTAATCAAGTCTAAACACTTACGTAATTTAAGCCATATAAATATAATTATTTAATAGACACATTAATGCTTAATAAAACTCGATGAGCTATCGAACATACTATAATGCTACTCACACTCGACTCATTAGGACAATCGAACATGTTTGAGATTGACTTGAAAATGATCAAAGTCAAGACGAGACTTCATTGATCAAGTAGCTCGACTTGAACTTGATCAAAATCAAGACCAGCGATCCATTAACCAAGCAGCTCGATAAGTGCTTCCAAAGCTGCTCGCTTCGCATACATCCCTAATCACCTATGCATGCCAAATGCCATTATATTCTTGGTCACGAATTGTATTCATGAACTATTTGATTGAACCAGGCGCTGAACGATCACCTTGGTAAAATGAATTGTTTAGAGGAGCTGAGTCCTACACGATGCAATGTTTTAAGGGACGTCGTATATTTGTACACAATCAGCAGTCAGCACCCACCACTGAGAATGGAATTGAGGGCAGCAGTAGCATTTTACTGAATTTTGTCTTCTCATAATTCAATATCCGGTCCCCCTCTAGCCTCAAAGCAGGCTTCTACTCCTGCTGCACCTGTTACATCAAGAATGAGGACATTTGCATATCCATCATCATTGATCATACACACTTTGATAAAAATTTTCCTAACAATAGCTCCATCATGCATTGTTTGACTCTTTATACATGGTTCTATCATCAGGCAGGCATGAATATGATAGCTCAGAAAGTAATTAATCAGATTGGTTTATTGATTAATTCAATGCCTAAAATAGGAATGGCCCCTATACTTTCTAACGACCTTAACAGTTTCTTGATGTTCCATTTTCTATTTGCACTCATGAGACATGATATTCATTTGAATGTCTGTATTTTTTGGTCAAAATGGCATGATGTTTTCGATAATTTGAGCTCTGTTTGGATCCTTCAATTTTTCAAATACTATAAAAATTGTTTAAAAGTACTCTAAAAAGTAGTCTAAATTTTTTTTAATATTTAAAAAAATCCCAAAATATATTTTTAAAACTCTACTACTCTTAAATATTTCAAAATATTTTCTAAAAATATCCCAAAATATATCCGTTTGGATTGGCTATTTATGGGGGTGTTTTTGAAAAATTTTGCTGTAGCAGAGTTTTTAGATTATATTTTGGGATATTTTCAGAAAATATTTTGGAATATTTAAGAGTAGAAGAGTTTCTAAAATATATTTTGAGATATTTTTTAAAATTTTAAAAAAAATTAAACTAATTTTTAAATTACCTTTTAGAGTACTTTTTAAAAATTTTTATTGTATTTGAAAAACTAGTTTTTGAAAAACACTCCCATCCTGTTACAGAAAATTTTTCAAAAATACTCCAAAAAACAGCTAATCCAAATGAAGTCGTTGGTTGTATACGGCACGTTGTTTAAAAAAAAAAAAAAAATACCCAGCAGTAAGCATTGAGCTCCAGATCCAAGAAAACAATTTTAAATCACAAAAATAGCTCTTATTAGCTTTTTCTTTCCTCTCTTCTTAGTCCTTACTCCTTGAACAAAAGGTTGTTTACTGCTTGGTGAAATATTTTGACAGATATAATCAAAGTACAATCCTCCATTCATTGGCTATTTCAGAAAATCAACAATAATCATCATAATGAAATTGCACACAGCAGAGTTCACGTCTGAAAATAAGCTAATTGCCTCAATCTCCGCCAACATAACTTTATTCCTTCCTTTTTTTTTTCTTTCGGTAGAAGTCAAATCCTATATTTGACGGGTTGAGCGTTATAGTGTCATATTTCTATATTTGGAATCAAAGCCTAATCTGTGCCAACATAACTTCCTTCTTTTTTCTTTTATTAGAAATCAAAGCCCAGTGTTAACAGTAAATATTGAAATAATTTGTGATTTATACTTTAAAAAAATCGTTCAAAATGTCTTTCACATTTCGTTAAATAAATTTTTTCATGTCTCATTTTTAAAATGGTATATTTACGTCTCTTACAAAACCAGTTTAGTGAAATTTAGTCCTAACTTAGGTTTTCGATCACTTTCTACCCTAAACCCATTACTTGATTCACACGTGATCATTATTTTAGCCTTTTAGGAAAAAAAGGTTAGATTTCAACTGTAGTTATACAAGTGACCTTGTCATCTTTACCCCTAAAAAGTAGGATCTGGCCTGAATTATGTTCATTTTTTTTTCTAAAAAAGTGATATTTGATTTAATTGATGTTCATTTTTGTCATTGAAAAGGTGAAATATGACCTTTTTGTATATAAAAAAATGACTACATGTGAATCACATGGTGATTTCAAGTCAAAAAGTAACTGCAAATTTAGATTGGGATCAAAATTAATTACTTACTTACATTTGTTAGGGATTTAAAATTACCATTTTAAAAGTGGAAGACCAAAAAATTTATATGCTAAAATGTAAAGGACGTTTTTAACAATTTGTTTCCTTATACTCCCATGTACTAGTGATATTTTTGTTTGGATAGTGAACTTATCCCAAATAATATTTCGCTTGCATTATAAACATATTTTTCAACTCATCTTTTTATATTCCAAACCACCTTTTTATCTCACATACATCACATCACAAAAAGTGCTACAGTGGACCTTGTTTGGAACCCAAGTTTTTTGTCAAATTTATTTGCTACAAGTTTTTTAAAAACTTTAGTTACAGTAACCTCAAAAAACTTTTCAAAGTTTTTAAACTATACACTTCAAAATATTAAAAAAAAAACACACACTTCAAAAATTTTTTAAAAACTTCTACAGTAAGTTACAATAAAGTTTTAAACAAACACACAAAAAACTCACCTTCCAACCGGGGCCATATTTCAAATAATACCCTATCCAAACAAATGCAAATTGGCAGTTTCCCAAACAAAATATGTTTGGAATTGGCAGTTTCCCAAACCAAGCTTCTGAGAATGCAACAACGTACGTTGAATCTTAGTAGTATCTGACTAGAGCTCCTAGCTCACAGCCGGGCTTTAAGGGCGACAACTTGAAATCTGACACACCCACTGATGATGATAGATGAGGATCTGGCTTGCATGTGTATATATATATATATACATATCCAAGTTCGAAAACAGGAACATATAATTGAATAATGCAAGTAGTAACAGCTTGGCCAGGAGTTGCTGCATGCAGAAACTAACCAAATGCTCACAGTTCTCTCTTTTTTCTCATCTTTTCCTGGAGAAGATGACGATCTTATCATCTGGGCTGTTCGTGTTTTTTCTGTTCCGACTGCTTTTGTTGCTGAAATTTTCATGATGACAGATATGTCTTGTTTTCCTGTTAAACTTTTTCTTGTTGGTCGAAGTTCACAAATTGGAAATTTATCTTCACACATTGGAAGTATACTTGTAGCGCCAGCAATTTGTCAATGATGCAAAAATAGAAAAATGGCCTTCCATTACGCTCCTCTAATATATATATATATATATATATATATATATATATATATATATATATATTTTTAAGGACACCATGTCTCCTTTTAAAGTTTCAATTTGGTTGGTTAATATCTAGGCATTCAGATTGGAAATGCAGAGTTTGTATTGGAACTTGATAGAAATGATGAAAGTTTTGTAGAAGAATTTCTTCCCCTTGTGGATCTGCAACAACGAAGGACTCGTGCATGAGAAACACAAGTTAGACTAAGAATGGCAGTTGCAAATTGCAATAAATAGATTTATTCATCTGCTATTAACGTTTTACCTCTGATACAAATAGTTCAAGCACCTTCCTGTACAAATGTATTCATTCCCCTCCCACGAACAAAACGGTGACAAAATTGCAAAATTCAAGATATCTACATGTTTACGACACAAAACGCAAAGCATCACGAGACAAAAAAGCCAAAAAATTGCAAAAGAAGAAAAGAGCCTGCCGTGGAAAAATGCAAGCCTTTTCTAGTTCCTACGAGACCTGGACCAGGGAATAAAGGAATATAGTATAGTAACACTTTTCAATAGAATCTCATCTATCTTATAGCATAGGAATGCGTGCAAACTGCTTCAAGTGCCCCAGCGATCATGGCAGAAAAGCTGGTCATGGCTTGGAAAACACCTGGCAACCCTGTCTGGATGTTGTTCAAAGTGTTCGACCGAGTCACCTCAACTGCCTTGGAGTGCTTCAGCATCTCATCTGCAACTCGCCTCTGGCAAGCTGCAAGCTCAAGCTTTTTCTCAGCTAGAGGGTCACGTGCATCCAAAGCATGCCAATTATCAGGGCCAGTATCAGGAAGGCCAATGCCAACCATGGAGTACGAGTTGTAATATTTCTTTTCTATGTTCCTGAGGGACGATGCCTTTTTCTCGAGCTCTTTGGATGCAGATTCAGTTCGCCCTTGATTTTGAGCTCCTCTCTTTGTTTCAAAGATATTGAATTGACAACGTTTATGAAACTTTTGACAGCTTCAGATGCAACCGTGTCAGGTATACGGTCAAGGGCGAGCTTCCACTCATCACAGAAGGCAAAAACTTCAGAATGTTCCCTGTTGCCGTTAGTTTGTTCACTGCTGACAGGGAGAAAAGTGAGCTTGAACCATTCATGGAGGGAGCGGATGAATTCCCTTTGGAATTTCATCAAGCGGCAGAAACTAGAGTGCCACGCAGACACCGCAGACTCGAGATCCCGTGTTGCTTGTCTATGCAGGTCAGAGGTTGATTCACCTTGGGTTGTTCGGTTGACAAGGCCCTGGACTTGCTGTACAATATCATACTGAACCTCATGATATTGGTTCATTGATTTCCACATGTACATGAACCTGTTTCATTGTAATATCAGCAACTGGTAAAATTATAAAATAAACATTCCTAAAGTAGTATGAATGTTGCTCCACATCAATGATAAAAGAGTGCTGAATCAATCAACAAGGAAACCATTTCTCTGTAGCACAAGATTGTAAAACCCAATTTTCTCACGTATCACATGCAAGAGATAAATAACCTTAGTATTCAGATGAAAATTAAGCTTGCCAGGACTTTTAGTTCTTACAATCTGACACACAGTTGCCACCACATTTTACACTTGTTTGGCCATTAATTTAACATAACAAAATCACAATCTTCTTAGTGAAATTGATTTTGTCCTTCAACATGGTCAATCTAATCTACAAGAGGCAAGTTGATGTTGAGGCCACAATGGTGGGCCACTCTACTATTGAACAAGCTAGTAAATTCAAGTCATCAAGTTCTCAATGTATTAGCCCCATGGATGGCTGCACTGGCTCAGAGGGATGAGATTGGGTTCATGCACATGCAAAACCAGAGCTTCATTATTATAACCTACCACTCCAACAAGCCAGCGGTGTACGATGTATAGCATGTTTTACATGAGCAAGAGGAAAAGTTTGAAAGAGATAAAACAACCCCCCATACAAAGAGTCCATTAATTTTTTTCATGTGGTCACCTTTGTATGGTTTTAACTGCAAGTAAACAAAAATTTACAAAGAAAATTATTTACAAAGGACAGACTAGTTGAACTTTAGCATCTTAAATACAAGACGTTGAAAGAGAACCTACATCAATTTCAGCTCAAAATCTAGAAAATGTAGCGTCATCCTGAGGGCTTTTAGAAACATCTTTCCAATATTTCTACAATAAATTTTAATATGGCCGTCTTAAGCAGCCAGTTGTAACCCCAAAAGACATTCTTCAAAAAGATATATTTGAAGGTTGTTTGAAAAGATTGAATTTGCAGAGGCTCAGCCAAACAACTGAACCCTCGCTGTCAGCCAATAAGCTGTGACATTCTAGTGAAAAACAGCCAACAATTTTACACACTTTATCGCTAACCAAGATTTAAACAGAACAAGAAAATACTAACCCATGGCAGAGTCCAACGAGCTGGGGAACAAGTTCAGAGTCCCTAAGACCAACAATGGCTGTGGAGGTAGTAGACACAGCCTGAGATGTGACCAGAATTAGAGATTGCAGTCTCTTGATAGAGGCCTTGGTCTTGTCCAACTTGGCTTCCTCATCCCCTCTGTACTCTTGACTTTGGAGCGCTGATAACTTCTTTTCATGGTCAATCTTCACACCTTCTCTAGCCTAAGGGCAATATCGATGACTTACCAAGTCAACATTAATACATGTCTTCAAAATGCTGAAAATAAGTCTGAATGCAGTAATGAGAAAAAAAAAAAATCAAGAAAACTATTTTCATGTTCACCAAATCAGCATTTGCAAGTGCTTGTTTTAGCAAACATGAACGTAGGAAAAAAATTTTTTAAAAAAAAGTCAAGCTACGATAATTAATTAAAGATGGTTTTTAAGTTTACTTGTCCGTGAAAGAAGGAAAACACCCCCCCGGGCCCCAAAAAAAAAATTCCTCCAGGGCCAAAAGAAACAGCCACCAATAAGAAAAATGGAAAAGGGCCTAGAATCTACTATTTTCTTTTGAAAAAGACAGAATCTTCGAAAGTTAATACCCATAAACAATTTACCCTGTTGTGTAATATGTACATGTTAGCTCACGTTTTGTCCTTTACATATCGACAATGATCAGAATTAAAGGAAATCGACTGACTGTTTAAAATTAATATAAATAAATAAAATAAAATAAGCAAAATGAGTTTCTATCCCCTTCATAAAGTTAAGTTAGTTAGGCAGGCTGACCCACCCCACCAGCATGGTCCAAATTTTACATCCTAAGTGCATTGTAGGCTGTATTTGACTACAATTTGTCATTTTACTGACAATTGTATCCAAACAATTTAGTAATTACACAAGAAAGATACTTCTCACAAGCACTAATGGATAGACATAAACCACAAAGTTCAACAGTACCACTCAAGCAAAGCATAATGCTAACCCAACAGAGGATTCTCAATTTTCTACGCTTTCGTCATTTGACAATACAACCAGAAAAAGGGTTACTTTACGCCATTGTCAACTGTTGCGTCCAGCCTAAGCCACCGCCTACTCTCTTTAAATAGATCAAGAAAAAGTTTAATGCAGACTGAAGTAAATACCTACTTAAAATACCAGTCAGTTCTCAAATTTAACAAAGATAATTGAAAGAATCAGCACCTTCACTTCCTGGTAAAGTTTCTTTTCCCAAGCCAAGAGTCTTTCTAAAGTGGAACAAAGGCTATTCGAACCTCCTGATTCCTCGAGGGAGCCTGGTTCAAATTTGTACTTAACAGCTATTGGTGGCTTTGAAGTCCAGCTGGAGCTTAAGTTACTGAAAACTCCACTTGAATGATAAACCGTCTCTGCAAGGCCCAATAAAATCAATTGCAAAATGGTTCCATTTCTCAGGCAAGAAGATAAGAAGGTCTAATTATCCAAATGGCAAATCCCACATTTGCCAAGGACACGAGTAATACGTTAAAAGAAGACCCATATTGGAGGAACGGAAGATGATGAAGTCAAAGCAAAACAAAAGTTCAATTCCAATAAAGCTGAAGCAAATGGTAAATTTGACTCAAAGTAATCTACAAATCGGAAAAAAGAAAAACCGTAATTGCAACAGAGAAAGAACTCACTTTTAAGCTTGGTGAAGCTCCGATCAAGCTGAGCTCTTTCGGTTTCCAGCATCGCAGAAACCTGCCCACCAGCAGCTGCAGCTTGATCAAAATACATCTTGATTGCAGCCCCAATCTCAGCCAAATCCTTGTGCCTCACTGCAATTCTCCTATCAGAGACAATCTCTCTATCCCCTTTCCCATTATTCCCCCAGCTAGCAGTCGACGACCCGTCAGCTGTCGAAAACTTCTCTGCTTTACCCTGAAACACAGCATGACCCAACTCCACACCCGAATCAAATGCCATTTTACCACCAGAATTAACATTAGCATCAGCAGCAACACCATTTCCAGCTCCATTTTTCGACCCCATATTCGACCTGGTCCCTATCCCTATCCCAGATCTAGACTCCTCATGATCAGATGATGATGAAGTTGTTGTGCTATAATGATCGTGGTCCCCCCACTCACTACACTGAACTTCCTCCCTCTCTGTCTCTCTCTCAGTCTCCCTATCTTCCTCCTCCTCCTCCTCACTATCCCATCTATTGAGATGATGCGGAGAATTACCACTAACAACTTTTCTACCGAGTTTACCTGGCTTCCCAAAATCATTCTTCTCATTTCGCGAGTAACTCGAGTAAGAAGAGTAACTAGAGGCCTTATCATCGTCAAAAAAGTCGAATTGCTTATTGTTGTTAATACCCTGCTGCTGATTATGGGATTGATGGTTCGAATAATTCGAATGAGACGTACTATATCTTGAACCCTTCTCATCTTCATCATCATGTACCTCATCCATGTCACTCCCATTGTCCCTGTGGGCAGCAGGACGGTTGGACCTTTTATTGTTCAATTGCTCAAAGTATTCGGAGTCAGGAGGAGATGGCGGGTAGAAATTCTCCCAGTTCCATACGGACGACGTCTGGGAAGGAGTGTTCGTGTAGCTGGAATTCGCTTTTGCATTGTAGGTAAAGAATGGATTGTCGTTAAAATCGTGAGGGGCTTTCTGGGTGGGCGAAGAAGTGAAACTGGAATCCGAGAGAATGTGGGGGAGCTTGATGGGTTTTTTCCGACGTTGTTGATGGGAGGAGGAGAGGATGTGGGGAGTTTTGAGGAGGAAATGGAGGGGGAGTACTCGGGCTGGGGTGGGGGTTGAGGGTGGTGGCGTAGGGAGGCGGATGGGGATGGAGAAGGGATGTGGCGTGCGGAGGCGGGGGACGAGGGGTTTTATGGTAGCTGTGGTGGTGGAGGAGGAGGAGGGGCTGCGAAGGAATACCGGAGCGGTGCGGTCGGAGACGGCGAGTGGTTCTCCAGCTGCAAAAGTGGAGAGGGCCGAGCCGGTTCGGATGAGGGAGCGGCAGTAGTCGGAGTGAGCAGCTGCCAAGTGATGGCGGGCGTAGACGGCAGCTTTCATGTGGTGGCGCCGGTCCTTGCACCGGCGGACCGTGTCCTCGTTGTCCAGCTTGGATGCAGTGCACCCCATGCTTTTTGTTTCCTCTAGTTCTAACTACACTATCTAAAAAAAATAAACGAAAAGAAAAAAGGATATGGAATTAAGCACCGCCGTGGACGGTGGTAGTGAAGGGTTGATGCGCAGAGCAAGTGGAAGTAGAAAGGAGAAGTAGCAGAAGTGAGAGTGAGGCTTTTATGGAAGAATTATAAGGAGGTATGGAGTTGGTGGTGGTGGTGGTGGGGAAGGTGGTGGCAGTGGCTATAGCCCCCAACAGAGGACCCCTGTCCCTGTGGAGGATGATGTCCCATCTACTTAAAACACTCCCCTTTCTTTCTCTTCTACAGTTAATGGCAGGACAGGGGTAGTCATTAGTCAGCTTGATACACTAGTATTAGCATGTTCTTAGTTCTTAATAAAAACACATCTTAAGAGCATCTTGCTAAATACTAGTTAAGATATAGTAGTTCAGACGTTGATATTTAAATTAAATATTATTCGTCTGCTGTTTGTAGTTCGGACTTTAATATTTTGAAAGTTTAAATTTATATGAAAAAATTTTATACATGTAAGATAGAATAATAACTGTTAGCATGTGGATCTATACGGCAGAATATGTGTAAAATTAAAAATATTTTAACAAGTATCTATTGGGCGGTCATTAAAAAAAAAAAATTATTAAGTTTTATTTTGTTAAAAGATTTTTTTTTCAATGAACATGGTAGTACACTCGATTCACACCAAACTTATGGTAGTAATACTCCTTACTAGAAAACTAATATATGATCAGACTCATCATCCACCCGACACTTATTAGCCAAACACTTGTTTAAGTCAGCAACGCTGATGCGTGACTTTGAATAACAGATTGATAGTGATAGAGTCATTTGAATTTCGATATACTTTCACTCTTTAATACTATATTAGTTTATCCGGCTACTCCTGCTCGATCCTATATGCACTGTTTCAAATAATTTTCATTGAGTGTGTTTGAATTGTTAAATTATTTTAAATAATATTTCGCTTGAATCATAAACATATTTTTTAATGAGTTTTTTTATATTTTCAACTATTTTTTATCTCACATACATCACATCATAAAAAATATTACAATAATTATTTCAAATAATACTCTATCCAAAAATAAAGAGTATTAAAAATAGAAACTTTTTGGGCTAACACGCTAGAGCGTATTAAAATTCAATTTTTTTGGGCTAGTGTTAACTTAGATCCTAACAATGGATTCTATAATTAATTCTTACAAAGAATTTCGAACTTTTTCAATACATGAAAGGCGAGGGGCTTGTAGTTAATTTTTCTGAGGAGCTTTCAAAGAAGATAAAAGTTTTTCTGGGTGGACCCACTATATGATGTGAGCTGTTTTTCTTTGTTTTCCATCTCACTATTGACTACTTATAATAACTGAAATCTGATCTGATGCCAGAGCGGACGATTGTGAATATCTTCCAGGATTGGGTTTTCATTTTCTTAGCGTTTTTATAGTTTAGTTTTTGTCTTAATCCATGTTGGTCGCTTATTGTAGAAAATCTATATGCATTTCTTCAAAGCTCTGAGTTATAGACCTCTCTCATCAGCCTTAGAAGCGACCACTCAACAGCCTTTAATGCAGAAGGGAAGTTCTGACAAAGTTTGCTTGTGTTATACAGTAGATATAATAATAGTCATGTTTATATCACTACCTTTTATTGTCAGATTAGAGGGTCTCTAAAGCCAAGAATGAACTAAAATTTTACGATTTTGAATCGTGAATTCTATATATAATGTCAGATTAGAGGCATTGTGCATGCTCATTGCTCGATAAGAAGGATTTAAGGCAAAAGAGCAACTTGAGGTGGTTATTTTAGGGGGCCGATAAAGGTGCAAACTTTCGGTGGTTTTACTTTATATTTAAAAGGCGTCTTTATCCTTTTCTTGGACAAGGTTGAATTGGATGATAAATTGTAAGGTATTTATTGTAAGGAGAAATCTCCCACTTGAAAAAAAAAATTAAAGGCAACTTTTATTTTTTATATTATAGGTGGCATACAAACCTATTTAACTAAATTTATCCATATCTGCTCGTGAATAAATGAATGTGGATATTTTAAATTTTTGCATATGTATATAAATGGGTTACCTAATAATACCTATTTAATAAATGAATATTATTGGGTAACCCATCAAAATCAATTAACCCATTTAGAATTGTCTTTCCCTAAGCATCCTCTCTTCCTCACCCATTTTTTTTAGATATTTCATTTTTTCATAATGTTAACTACTTTTTTTTCATTATTATTATTATTTATTGGTTTTATCTTATTATTTTATTTTCTCGTAATTTGTTAACTTGCTCATTTTTCAGTATTACCAAATTATGACAAGTTTTAACCTCTTTTCCTACCTTTCCAAAATAAAATTTTAAATTTACACACAAAAAATATTAGGGTTCAAAGTTTTTGAATTAAGTTTTTATGTTAACGTTCATAGTATTAAGTTCAAATTTTTATATTCTTATTGTTTAATTATTAAATAGTATGTAATTTTGCGACATAGAGTACGAATGAGAAAAAAATTAGTAATTAGGCTTATTAAGTATTATAAGTAAATATTTAAAACTATTGATGGGCGCAAAGGGTGGTATAAATTAATAACTTAGTTTGCAAAAAATAAATTTGAATGAGTTCACAAAAAGTTAAAATAAATGGATTATAAATAGGTAATTGTGTTACCCAACTCATTTTTGACTTATCCATTTATACTCATATAATTAAACATGTATAAATAGATTGACTCACTCGTACCTATTACCCATTTTAACCAACCAAAACCCGTATAAGTCACCTATTTTGGCACCTCTATATATTTCATACAAAAGGAAAGCATATTTCTGGCATATGCTGCCCCAAAAATGATGCAAAAAAAAAAAAAAAACCCAGATAAATGAATTCCCCCATCATTCTGATTTCTGATCAAATTTGAGATCTCCACAGGAATGGTTTGGTCTGACATAGCATAAACCCTGCCTGTGCAGGAAACTGGACTGTAATAGTAATAGTAGCAGATTTCTGAGGATGATACAAGTGAGGGTGCTCACCTTTTTGTTTGGGCATTTGGGGCAGTGAATTGTTAACTAACCAAAGTGACTTCTCACGTCCATCCATCCAATTACTGAATTGTTCAGACTATTGCCTGAACTTTCATCCTTTATACTATAAGCATTTGGGGTCCAAACCTACTCCTATCTTCTTGATTTGACGATTTAATTTCTGCTCTAACTCGCAAGAGCTTGTATTCAGTCCATTTGAATTTTGAACCAATTTAAACAAGCTCATGACTTCCCACCAAACAAGAAAAAGCAAAAGGCAGGAAAGATGAAACCAGAAATTCCAAACTCTCAACCTTTGCAAACAAACAAAAAGAAAGGCAAAAGGAAGGAAATGGTACAGCGAGAATAGATGCAAGACGCATTCCACTAGCAGGGTGTTAGTGGGCAATGGTGGTTTCACTTTTCCAAGCAAGAAGTCTAGAACCAATGAAGAACGAGGCAAAAAAAAAAAGAATGAATAAAGTAAACCCAGATTTTTTTTTTTTTTTGAGAAAAAAAGAAGCAAACTTTCAATCCACCTTTTTCTCCTCTTAGTCTTTACTGGACCCAACTACCATGTCACATGCCTTTGTTTGTTGCTTTTTCTATTTTCTTTTTATCACTTTCTTTCTCTCTTTTTCTGATGAATAATAATCATTAGTTCCTTTTGCACTGGGACCGTTGTTGATCAGTTCAGGACAAACGTTCTAACGTTTCAGCTTCTCTTCCTATTTCTCATTATTGTTGTGTTACCTAAGGTTAACGGCATGCAAGTATGAAAGGGGACCATACTTTATATAAAAAAAATTTATGTAAAATTTTCATGAAAGAAGTTTGGTTTACGTGACTGTAGTAATTTAGTAGTTACAATATTTAGGGTGACTATGAGTAGCTATATTGGCAAAATGCGAATACGTGATTAGGGTAAAAATTAATTTTTATAAGAGTAAAACTGATAAGTTCAAAAGATGAAAAAAGTGTTTATATTTTTTACAGACGTCATGGATAAGCAATTCGAAAGAATCACCTATAGCGTGTCATTGCATACCCTCTTTCTAGACTCTCTCACCAACGCTAAAAAATTGCACATCTAACTGCACATATCAAAAATGAAATGAAGCAAAGCAAACTGCTTCGTTCCATGAAACATGCGATTTGAAGAAAGGACGTTCCAAAAATATAAACTCGTGAACCCTCGTTCCAAGTGATGGAATGGACCAACTCCAAACAAAGTTAGGCACGCACGACAAGCAGAATTCATCGAGACCATAACAAAATACACTTGCTACAAACAACGACAACATTCTCTCCTCTTGCTAGTTGTTTCCCCTCCACTTTTCCTGGCTTTCCGATTTGGGGCAAAGGAGACCCACCAACCAGAATTTAATCCGCTGTCCATTCTTCGCCCCCGTTGCACCATTCTCAAAACAGTTACTTATTAGAATACATACATGTTTAATCGCACCTTTTTAAATGGAAAAAATGGAAAAGAAATAGAAACAGTAGTGCTAACGAATTCTATCCATGGCTCGGTGAGTACGGGCTGTACTGTTTCAGTTAGCACGACAGGACGTGTCAGCCCAGGCAGGCCTCCAAGTCTAAGATCAGCAGATCCTCTTTATTTATTGAGCCATTTCCCACATTCCAAAGCAGGTAGGGAAAGCAGGAGGCGGCCTCAAGAAACGAGGAGCAAGCAAAGGTCCATAAAGCTGCACCAATTACATGGATCCCCAAACTTATCAACAATAATGAATCAGTTGATGTCTACCGAGTTTAAAAGAACAGAACCCTCGAAAGATAACGATGGAACAATTCTTCCGTATGCATTTGGTTACCAGCCTGGGACCACTCTTCTTGTTGGCCCACATTAAAGGATTTCCATTTTGTCAGCATTGGATTTTGCATCCCGCCATCCCATACTAGCTCAGCTGCCTTTTCTTCCCAAAGTACCATTCTTCTCACACTATCGATGGCTAGACACACCTACCATTCTTCTTCTCAAGTCACATGCTTGTGATTTTCTTAATCTTTTATTAAAAAAATTTTCGATCATCTTTCTACTCCACATATAATCATATACTTGCACCACCAAGTAGTAAATAGTAATGCAATGGAAGCCATGATGGCATGCTGATATTTCAAATCCGATGGCATCATGGACCAATCGATCACACAAAAAGGTAA